AGAGCACTGAAATGAGTTAGAGACATAACAGCTGAGTTCTTTTGATATATTCTGTGAAACAGCTCACCCAGATGACCTGCACTTCCCGTATCACAAACAATGATGTAATGATCAAGCAGCGGTACTCCTTTTCACTGATCCGATTAAATTGCTCTGTCGGCCATCCTTCCCCACCCTGCATGTAGTTTTCGGCTGGCACCAAAGTCTTGCAGAACCATTAGGTACGAGAATTATCTCTTCAATCAGAATGTCCAGTCCAAAACATTGATCCAAGATCCAGTTCAGTCCAGAATAAGACATTTTCTTCCTAGCCTAGCCTGGCCTGCCTTCAGCCTGGAAGTCTACCCAAAGCCCACCTCCCCCCCCCCCCCCCCGTTCTTTCCCCAACACCTCCTCTCCACTTCTCGCTTTCCCTTCTTGCTTTCACTTTCACATGTCGGGGCAGGTTGAGCTGGGCCCTGCTCTGGATATGGCAGGTGGACGGTGGCTAAATCCTGTGGAGCGCTTGGTGGGATTTCTGGAGCCCTCTCCACTGGAGACTGAAGACCAGCTCCCCTGACTCAGGCAATGTCTGGATCCTCTCACGCTCACATCAACCCGGTGTCTGGCACCCTCCAGTGCTCAATTCTTGCTAGTGAATGAATGAAGGAGATGAGGGAAAAGACAGGAAGGTAGCAACGTTCACTCCATGAGCTCCTTAGGGAAGGAGATTTTTATGTGAGTAGGTCATTTTTATCGGATCTTGTGCTTTTAAAAACATTCCCCTTAACCTACGGTTAAAAAAATGAAGGATCATTTCATTCTTGGCCACTTGTCACTCCGACGGTACCCAGAGACAGATGGAGCAGGCAGTAACCTGTGGACACAGCTGCGGGCTCCTTCATTAGTGCTGTTCCATGGTCTGTAGAATTCCTCAAACAACTGGTCCAAGTATCTCTCCACAATCAGTGGATCAATAAGGCTATGCGGGAAAACCAAAACTGCTCTAGATTATACACACCAGGCCTCGGACACACACTCCAGTGCCAGCCTCAGAGCCCCGCCCTCTCCTGTCTGTGCACAGAAGACAAGGCAGCCCCGGGAGCATGGGGTTAAAAGCACTGAGGCCCGAAACCTGCAGACAGCCTGGCACTGGGCAAATGACATGTGAGGCCTCCTAGCAGGAGACGCTTGAGAAGCGTGTAGACACCTAACGAAAACACTTCTTTCTCTCAGATTTTCTACACACACAGCCCTGACTTCTGGTCCCCTGGGGGCTTTAGTCTCTGTCTTGGCTGACTTCGGAAACTGTAAATGCTTGAGAATGAACAACAGCAACATGAACACGTAAACTGGATTTGGGCATCTCCCAGGTGCCCAGCACTGCAGAGCCCCGAGGAAGCAGACGCAAAGATGAAGGAGACAAGTCCCGCCTGCAGGGAACGAGGGCTCCTTGTCCGGGGATGAAATGTTCACCTCCTGTCCTTAGCTGGAAGGGATTTGGTCACACCCACCTACAGTGGACTTTATGTCTCTCATGCGTCTTGATTCAATGTTGCCTTTAATCCTCCCTACATCCTTGGGGGAGGCAAGAGATGGATGGGTGTTCTCATTCTCAGAAGAGGATATTAACCCCCAGTGAGGCAGAGGGACGGAATCGGGCCCCACAGAAGATACAGTAGCACATGGAAGAACAGGTGTATCCCGACTCTGGGCTGCAGCTTCCGCTAACCCATAGACAAGGCATGTGGGAGGAACCCAGCCAGGCCTTGTGGCTTCACTTTCCACATGAAAGGCAACAAATGAGTGAAAAAGCACAACAAAATTAAGAGAAACTAGGCAGAATGTATAACAGATGAAAACTTTTAGAATCAGAAAAAAAAAAAGGCATTCTAGCCTTAACCAAATACTTATTAAAGGAAAGCCTAGAAGGTTCCAGAATGGCGTTCTAGCACACACTGCAGGGAAGGAGTTGAGGGTGACATCCTAGGGAAATTTTATTTCCCTGGAGAACCAACACGCATAATTCTGCCACTCTATTTCTCCTGAATTATGTTCAGGGTCGTATCTGCCAATATTAGTTACCTTCGATGAGAAGTGAGAAATAGATACATGATACCTAATATTTTGTAGAAGACTCAATTCTCTAGATTTTTGGGGGACAGAGCTACATCTTGTCACTTCCCTGAGGCTTTTCTGTTTTCAGTAAATTGAAGTGGTAGTTCTGGTTGGTCTACCACGTGAGGAGAAATGCAACTGTTAGCATGTTTGGCTGTATTTTTGAAAAGACTACAATTTCTGACTCATTTTTTTTTGGAAAAGTTATTAATTAAAAATAATCAGGTTGCCACAATAATGTTACAGTCTTCCTTAATGGACTCAACCAGCACAAAGTGAATCAGATAATGAAAAATCCTATCGTCCAAGTCCTTCATTTTGTGAGGTGCAATGATGAGGGTTAACTAGCAGAGTTCTTTCTTTCTTTATGCACCATGGTGGTCCGCTTGCTTGGGGTCCGTCAAGCCAGGGGCAACACCCACACCTCCTGGGAGCCAAACTGGCTCAGGCCATGCCAGTGTGATGGAAAACTCACGTGAATGAGGAAGGGGGCAGGATGTGCACCAGGACAATGGGAAACCAACCACAGATCCTTAAAATCTATTCACACATTCAGGGAAGGTAAGAAAAGACAAAGGAGTGAGTGGTAAGAGCTTCCTCTGGCACATCAGGGTCTACATTTTATACAATAATCATGTCAGGACAGAAGACTGAATATCTGAGCAATGTGTACCATCGACATATGCCTCCAATGTAGAGAAGCTGGGATTCCCAGTGTGGGCCGCTAAGTGGAACCGAGGACAAAGTGCTTCCCCACATACAAGCACACCTTGAGTAACAGGCTGCAAAGTAGCTGAACTGTCTGAACAACAGCTAACACTTAGGGTGCTTTTTGGATTACAACGAAAGGCCCCAGGACACAATCTGAATAAAGAGACCCTTGCTTTCATATCAATCCACTTTCTATTCCAGTGATTTGGTGCTATTCAATCTAATACTGCCTGTATGCACATATGTATTTATGCAAGTACAATGCAGCCAAGGTCAAGCCACCTTGATCAAACACCTTACTGTAAACCTCTTTATCATAGAAGCAAGGGGTTCAGTACACCCATCTCCCCATCTCTGAGTTCTCTTCACCCAAAGTAAAGTAAGCCCAGCATATTGTCAATTGCTTTGCAACTCTTTTCTAGCTACTACATAGAGTTTTATGTGAATTGTGGGGGATTCCTGTTCCAGATTATTAGAAAAAAGAGGGCACTGGGGATTGACAGAAAGGAGGTGAGGCTGATAGGGAAGCAAGATTAGAGGTTTTGGAGAGAAGATTTGCAGATAGGAGAAAGCTGAGCCCAGGTCAATCTGGGCTTTCGCTTTCAGCGGGGAAGACAAGCAAGGGGCATCTGCTAAGCCTTGTGTACTGAAGCTACTCCGCGTCTCTGAAGCCACAGCAGGCCCCCGGAATCAGAAGTCGGGACCCCGAGGCCAAAACCAGGGAGGAATGGGATGGACAGTCAGACACAGGAGAAACCTCATTACCATGTATCTGCAATGAGGCACGTGGGACTTAGAAGCAGCTCTCCTCATCAGGAGAGACGAGACATTTTCAATGGACTCAGGACGGTTCTCAGAATTTGAGTCATATGGGATCCATTTTTATTTATTTAAGATGTGTTAAGGTAAAATTTTTACATCCTATATTTAATGTGTTACCTTCATTTTTATTTTAATTAACACTTAAGAATCGTCATGGGTTAACTGATGGTGAGGCCCAAATCCCACTTTTCCCAATTCGTGAATTCTCCCACAGGGATTCCAGGCACGTGGCTCTCTTGTGACCCCGATCTCATGGACTGTTGTCACCAAGGGCCACATGGCAGACCCATGACAACCTCTGAGAATATAATGAAGTGAGACCTGGGAGTTCCTTCTTTCTCTTTTTCTTTATTCATTAGCATGTTATTCACATTTTATATGTTTAATGCGTTCTGATCTGAGCCATGGAGGGCTCCCTTCCCTCTCTTTAAAACTCTCCTGGCAGGGTGGTGCTAGGCAGCCACCTGTCTGCCAGGGCCCACCCATTATTTGGCAGTGGGTGACAAAAGCACAACGCGTGGGGCGCCTGAGTGGCTCAGTCGTTAAGCATCTGCCTTCGGCTCCGGTCAGGATCCCAGGGTCCTGGGATCGAGCCCCACATCGGGCTCCCTGCTCCGCGGGAAGCCTGCTTCTCCCTCTCCCACTCCCACTCCCCCTGCTTGTGTTCCCTCTCTCGCTGTGTCTCTCTGTCAAATAAATAAATAAAATCCTTAAAAAAAAAAAAAAGCACAACGTGTGTCTCAAGCCCATTGAGGCAAAGGAGGCCCTTCCCTTACTTCGTGAAACTGTGAAATGGGTATAAATTTTACAAAGGTGTACTGAAAACACGCAAATAACAAGGTGTCCTGTCAGCGTGATGCAATTTCAAAACAGAATACTAGGAACCAAAACATCCAAGGCATGAGGCAAAATATCTCCTAAATCCGCCTGAGAAAATACTCCCTGACCAGACACCAGAGTGTGTGGGCCCAGAGTGTTGCTCATCTCCAGGGGCATCTGCTGTTTACCTCAGTGGAGTACCTGCTGCTTACCTCCAGCTACGGGGAGGGCCCTATGAATGGCACTCCCTGGGGGGCACAGCACGGTGGCTCTAGCGCCTCAGGTGGGTGCCATTGCCTCAAAAGATGAGGAAAGAGGGGAACCAGGCTTCACTCCTGTGTCACGCCGGATCTGATACAGTGTATATTTGGCAAATACACACGTGTTTGCTTTAATCTGTACATCTATCCTATTTCTTCCCTTTCTGTTCTAATTCCAAGGTTTCAGGCCCTAACTCCAAAGCCTCAGAAGGCATTTTACAAATGTTAAGACTTAAAAAGTTGGTTTAAAAAAAAAATTCCTTGACACAATTAACGTTACCACTAAATTACCTGTGCGTGCTTTGAGACCCAGTGACGGAGGACATTCAGGACTCGATTGGTGGCTGTTCTCCGAATAATAAACTCTTTGTCGCATGTCCTCTCAGTGTTGTTAAATCCTTAGGAGGAGAATAAACACACACGTCGTTAAAGCCAATCCCCAGGAATCTGGAAAAGGTTAACGGACATGGGTTAACGGACACAAATACACACCTTGGCAGAGAGGTACCAGTGGCTTCAGAATGTGGTGAATTCTGCTTACTTACCTGTTATACCCTCAGCTGTGAGGCTACCACCTAGACAACAGGTGCAATTAAATGAATAATGTGCACACATTTATTAAAGGCCACTGATTAAAGCTAAAGCCGATCTAATGACATTTCCATTTATGCCTGCCTTGTTCTAGAACATAAAGCCAAGAAAGTTTTAACAAATATTTAAGTGAACATTAGTGGATACTTTTGTCCCAAAGTCATTATACAACCAATAACATTTTCAATAGTTAGATGGATAGGCCCATACGTAGGTTCATAGATGATACAAATACCTTATTATGCACCCGTGTACTGAGAAGCAGGATAATATAGTGTTTAAGAACATGAACTCCACAGTCAGGCTATCTGGGTCCAAATCTCTGTTGTCCTACCCTGGCAAGTTACAGCACCTCTCCATAACTGGGTTCCTTGCGTCCTGCAGGCACTAAAGCGTACCTACCCCACAGAGTTGTTACAGAGATCAAGTTAGTTAATACATGTTAAGCATTTGGAATGACACCTGGAACAATAGTGAGAGCTCAATAAATGCTAGCTATTATTACACTTCAATATTGGTCGAGTGTCTCTGGTTCCCCTCTGTGCCAGTGTAGGTCTCGGTCTTGACCACCTTTTCACTATCAAGAAACTATTTTAAATTTTTTTCTATTGAATCTCCGTTTTAAAAGATTTTACCTTCCAATCATAATTAAGTGACATATTTCTTTTAAAAATGAACGCAAGCCTTATATAACTTCACTGGCAAACCTCCTGAAAGTTGTCTAAACTCACTTGTTCCATTTCCTCCTCTCCTACATGCTCTACACCCCACTCCCCCCATCTTACCACCAAAACAGCTCCTCTTAAGGTCACTAGGAACCTGCATGTCTCTATAGCCAATAGACATCCATCATCTCTCCGTTGGAAAGCTCAGCTGATGAACACTTACAAGCAAATCCTCATGTACTTATATCCCCAGATCTCTTCTCTGGGCTCTGGATCCATATATCCAATTGCTTCTTGATATTTTCCTCTTAGATGTTTCAAAAACCTCAGACCCAATCTGGATAAAAGAAAAAGCCATGGCCTTTCCACCAAACCTTGTCCTTATCCAGAGGTTCCAATCTCATTAAAGGAACATCACTAGCCATCCAGTTATATACGCCAGAAACTCTGTTTCTTCCTCATAATTTCATCTGCTAAGTCAATCTCAAATCTGTCCATATCTTCATGTCTACAAAGCCAAAATTGAAGCTGAGCTGCCAGCAACTCTCAATCTGGTCTACTGATAATCGTCTTGTCATTCTTGCTTTCTCAAATCCGTTCTCCTCTCTAAAGTGAGAAAGATCTTTTCAAAGGCACAATTATATGTGTCATTCCCCTGTTTAAAGCCCTTCAATAGCACTTATGATAAACAGAAAAGCTCCTTAACACAGCCCACAAGGTCTTGCATGGTTTGATTCCTAGCTCCCTCTCAGCCTTGTCTGGAACCATATTCTTCTCACTTCTCCTCTTTCATCTCACCACCCTTCTTTTAGTCCTTCATCCTCACCCCAGGGCCTTTGCACATACTGTGCTGCGTCTGGCACAATTATCGCTCCCCTTTTCACTCAGTGAAAGCTATTCTTGTTTATTTCACTTCCCCAATTAAGCCCTTCCTGGCCTGAGCTGAACAAATCATCACATCTCACAGCACCATATGCACGTTTGCTTTCTGGCACTTGTTCCATTTACAATTTCACATTTATTTATGTAGATGGGGATCAGGTATGTTTTTGTTGAGCACAATGAGTGCATATCTGGCATGTAGCAATGCTGTACACAACATATATTTGCTGAATAAATGAATGAAAGCCTGGATAGTGAGAATTTACTATCGAATGTGATTTGAATGTAAAGATGATAGAGTGAAAGACTAAATGAATAGTCCTCAGACTCTATGAATTGAGTTAGACAAAAAAAAAAAAATCTATGAACTTCTTAAGGGGGCAGAGGTCCCTTTTTGCATACTGCTCTTTGGATGTGGACAGGCCTCTTCGACCCTCTAGCAGACAACCATCAGAGGATCATGATGATGTGCTCTTGGCAGAACAGATCTCTTTTTAAAAAAATCTTTTGCTATTAAAAGCTTAAAAATTCTGGGTATAATATAATAAATATCTTTTAAAACGCATAGCTGAGTTCTCAAGAAAATAAGGAATTTTCCAAGGTCAAACGCACAGGGACCTGAAAACCAGAACCAAGCCTCTGAACTGATGCTAGCAGCCCCAAGAGGAGAGCAGCTCACCAGCCTCGGTAACACAGGATTTGGATTGTAAATCCATGTGGTTCAGGAGAAGCCCCAGGGCCTTCATGAAGTATGAGTGAGAGAATGGGAACTGAGACTCCCACATAAAGCTGGAACTCGCAAAAGACCAATCCCTCTGTGAAGAGCAGACTGGGGGAAAGTGCTCCAAGTGCCCAAAGAGACAGTTAAGAAGCTTATCTGTCTCAGCCTGAATCTCTGTGAATGTGGGGAGAAAAAGCCTCCCTGAGAATTGATAGCCACAGGCCCACTTCATGTAGATTTGAAGCTCAGATTAAGCCACTATTGGATGGTCTGTCCCTCTAAATGAGAAGCTAAAAAGTGGCCCAGGCCAGTGATAATCCTGGGACCCCTGACAAAAGTATACACAAAACTTCTCTGGAGGGACAGAAACTCAACCTCAGCCTGTACCAGATCACCACTAAAACAAAACAAAACAAAACAAAACACAACCCAAAACAAAACAAACAAAAAAACAACTCTGAAGAAAAACTCACAATCCAATATTACAAAACACTCAAACTGTCTGCCATGAACAAGGATCAGTAGACACAGGGATGAGAATGCCCCACCCCACCCCTCCACCACTACCAAGAATTCCAGGTACAAGAACTATTAGATAGATCCAGTTCAAACTAAAAATGTTTACAGAGACTAGTGATATAAAAGTGGGAACTGAAAACATGATAAAAGAATAAAAAATTTTAAAGTCAGATTTTACAAGAACCACATAACACTTCTTCAAAGCTGATAGAATTATTCTTTTAATTATTGTTAAAAAAATAGAAGCGTTGAAATCGAAAACTCAAGGATAGATAAACACTGATTAGACAGATGCCACTGAACAAACAAACAATAAACTGGAAAGAGATTTAAAAAACAGACTTGAGGGGCACCTGGGTGGCTCAGCCGTTAAGCGTCTCCCTTCAGCTCATGTCATGATCCCAGGGTCCTGGGATCGAGCCCCGCATCGGGCTCCCCGCTCAGCAGGAAGTCTGCTTCTCCCTCTCCCACTCCCCCCTGCTTGTGTCCCCTCTCTCGCTGTCTCTCTCTGTCAAATAAATAAAATCTTAAAAAAAAAAAAACAGACTTCGGAAAAGTACTCAAATGCAGTCCAAAGAGCTTAAGAGAGAAAACAGAAAAAAAGGGTATTAAAAGACATGGAGGAAAGAATTCAAAGTTCCAACAAAAAATCAGAAGATCAATATAGGAAAATAATTTTTTTGACTTGATGGAAGACATGAATCTTTAGGTTCAGGAACTGCAATGAATCCCAAGCAGGATAAATAAAATGAAAGCCACACCTAGAAAAACTGCAAAATGATGGAACTCCAAGACAAAGATAACTTTGAAGCAACTGGTGAGGATATACTTATGATCTGTAAAGGAAAGGCAGCTGAAAAGGATAGGAAATGGTACGGTGAATGGGACAAGTAGACGAGAAGGCTCAAATCAACCAAATTAGTGTAGAAACTCCAACTAGGGTGAGAGCTGGGGAATAATAAGGCACCATCATTTTGCCAGGGGATGGAAGTCAAAAGCTCTTGGAACACTGAAAAAGGGTAATGAGACAGAGTCCCCCACCTGCATATATAAGGATGGCCAATCAGTGAGATGAGAATAGGAGATGGGAGTAAGAAATGGACAGAAAGATAAAAATCAAAGTGAAATATTAAGAAAGAAAAGCAATTTCAACAGAGCTGCTACTGCTTTAATGTATTTTGGAAAAAGTATCTATCACTACTTGTCTCTGCGTCTGCATCAGGGGTAGGTGGCAGGGGAGTTTTATTTTGAAAGAAAGGCAAGGAACACTCTTCTGCTCTCCAAGTTATTTCGTGTCACACATTAAAAGGCCACTTAAGGGATTTTCTTTATCAAATTTCCAATATTTCCATTAATTCAAACCTCAACCTCTCTTACCATTTAGATTAGGATTTGATTATACGGCTTGGATGTTCTTCGTAACTCCTTCTAATAACCATGTTATTTACCTTTTCTGTGGCGATCGCAGCTCGGTAAGTTCTCACTATCTCTGCTGCTCAGAGCGCATCCACCTGCTGCCACTTGCAGGACTCAACATGCTCTTGGAAAGTGACCGGGTACTCACTTAAGCTATCCCCAACCATGTGCACTCAGTGCAGCTGGGACAATGCACAGCGGGTAGGAAAGGTGACTAAGATAGCAGGAGCAGCCTTCCAAGTGCTGCAGGAATGCTGAGAACCAGGGAGGGAAGGCTCCAAAGACACACATTCCACTGCACCCTTCACAAGGCAGGCCATCCCTACATGGCTCCAGGGTGGACAAGAAGTCAAGTCCAGAGCAAATCACCAAACTCTCTGTGGCTCAGTTTCCTAACTTGTAAAATGAGCAGAATAAAACCATATAATGTTATGTTAAAAATTACATAATTCCTGTAAAACAAGGCACTCAATGAAATCATATTTATTATATTCTCACCTAGAGCAGGCTTCATCCATCCATCCGCCCCCTTGATCCAATGGCCCTCGCTAAATACTTTTGACAGAGAGCTACTTATAAGCATATGTGAAAGCAGCAAGGATCT